TGATCGGGCTTAGGTTTTAACAGGATCATTGGCTGCTGTGTTGAGAAGAAACAGTAGAGGAGCAGGGCCAGAGAAGGGGGAAGAGTTTGGAGGATTTTGCAGTAATCCAAGTGAGAGGTGAACCATGGTAAGGGAAATGAGGAGCACTGAATTCGAGCTACATTTGTGAGAAAGCTGACAGGATTTGCTTAGAGATTGGAGTAAGGGTGTAACAGAAAGAGAAGAATCAAGAGGGAGTTTCTATATAAAATGGCTTTTAAAACAAAGAACCAGCCGGGCGCGGTGGCTCAAGCCTGTAATCCCAGCACTTTGGGAGGCCAAGGCGGGTGGATCACGAGGTCAAGAGATCGAGACCATCCTGGTCAACATAGTGAAACCCCGTCTCTACTAAAAATACAAAAAATTAGCTGGGCATGGTGGCACGTGCCTGTAATCTCAGCTACTCAGGAGGCTGAGGCTGGCGAATTGCCTGAACCCAGGAGGCGGAGGTTACAGTGAGCCGAGATTGCACCATTGCGCTCCAGCCTGGGTAACAAGAGCAAAACTCCGTCTCAAAAAAAAAAAAAAAAAAAAAAAAAAGAACCAGTCTGTTAAAGAAGTCTACAAATTACGCCCGGTGCGGTGGCTCACACCTGTAATCCCAGCACTTTGGGAGGCCAAGGCGGTTGGATCACTTGAGGTCAGAAGTTTGAGACCAGCCTGGCCAACATGCTGAAACTCCGACTCTGAAAACCCGTCTCTACTAAAAATATGAAAATTAGCTGGGTGTGATGGCGGGTGCCTGTAATCCCAGCCACTCAGGAGGCTGAGGCAGGAAATCGCTTGAACCCGGGAGGTGGAGGTTGCAGTGAGCAGAGATCATGCCACTGCACTCCAGCCTAGGCGACAGAGCGAGACTCTGTCTAAAAAAAAATAAAGGAGAAAAAAAGAAGAAGTCTACAAATTGTTGGTCCCCAGAATAAATCTCAGACTCCTGGGCTGGCTCCGGGAAGTGCTGAATACCTGTTCTCAGCCTCTACACCTTTGCAAACATAATCGTCCCTCGGTATCCAAGAAGGATTGGTTCCAGGATCACTTTATTTTATTTTAAGACAAAGTTTAGCTCTTGTTGCCCAAGCTGCAGCGCAATGGTGCAATCTTGGCTCACCACAACCTCTGCCTCTCAGGTTCAAGCGATTCTCCTGTTTCAGCCTCCTGAGTAGCTGGGATTACAGGCATGCGCCACCACATCCGGCTAATGTTTTTATATATATTTTAGTAGAGATAAGGTTTCTCCATGTTGGTCAGGCTGGTCTCAAACTCCCGACCTCAGGTGATCCACCCACCTCAGCCTCCCAAAGTGCTGGTATTACAGGTGTGAGCCACCATGCCCAGTCCCAGGATCCCTTTGATACCAAAATCCACTGATATCAAAGTCCTGTATATAAAATGATGTAATATTTGCATATAACCTACACACATCCTCCTATATACTTTAAATCCAACTCTTGCTTACTTATAACACCTAATGTGTAAATGTTATGTAAATAGTTGTTATAATGTATTGTTTTTCATTTGTATTTATTTTTAGACATAGGGTCTCACTAATGTAGTAGGAGGATGGACTTGAACTCCTCGGATCAAGTAATCCTCCTGTTGCAGCCTCCCAAGTAGCTAGGACTATAGGTGCATGCTGCCACACCTGTCTATATTTGTATTATTTTTTATTGCTGTATCACTTTTTCCAACATTTTATTTTTGAGACAGGGTCTCACTCTGTTGCCCAGGCTGGAGTGTGGTGGTGCAATCTCAGCTCACTGCAACCTCCGCCTCCTGGGTTCAAGCAATTTCCTGCCTCAGCCTCCTGAATAGCTGGGATCACAGGCGTGTGCCACCATTCCCAGCTAATGTTTGTATGTTAGTAGAGACCTGGTTCCACCATGTTGGCCAGGCTGGCCTTGAACTCCTGCACTCAAGCAATCAGCCCACCATAGCCTCCCAAAGTGCTGGGATTACAGGTGCGAGCCATCATGCCTGACCATTTTTCCAAATGTATATTTTTTAACTTGGATTTTTATTGCTTATTGGTTTAACAGCAAGCATTTTCTTTCTGGTGATCAGAAGCAGCAGCAAATAAGTCTTTTTTTTTTTTTTTTTGAGACGGAGTTTCACTCTTATTACCCAGGCTGGAGTGCAATGGCGCGATCTCGGCTCACCGCAATCTCCGCCTCCCGGGTTCAGACAATTCTCCTGCTTCAGCCTCCTGAGTAGCCAGGACTACAGGCACGCGCCACCATGCCCAGCTGATTTTTTTGTATTTTTAGTAGAGACGGGGTTTCACCATGTTGACCAGGATGGTCTTGATCTCTTGACCTCGTGATCCACCCGCCTCGGCCTCCCAAAGTGCTGGGATTACAGGCTTGAGCCACCGCGCCCGGCCCCAAGCAAATAAGTCTTTAAGTACTTATATCAATCATCCTTTTAGTACTTACTGTTTTATAGAGCACTTCTTCCTCGTTTTCCTTCTACCTTTCATGCCACCCCTTCTCAGTTTTTTTTTTGAGACAGGGTCTCACTGTGTTGCCCAGGCTGGAGTGCAGTGGCACAATCATGGCTTACTGCAGCCTTGACCTCCTGGGCTCAAACGATCCTCCCTTCTCACCTTCCAAGCAGCTGGGGCTAATACAAAATTAGCTGAGCGTGCTGGTGCGTGCCTGTAATCCCAGCTACTCTGGAGGCTGAGGTGGGAGAATCGCTTGAACCCAGGAGGCGGAGGTTGTAGTGAGCCAAGATCACTCCACTGCACTCCAGCCTGGGCAACAGAGCAAGATTCCGTCTAAAAACAAAAACAAATACAAAAAACAAAACAAAACAAGTAGCTGGGGCTACAGGCACATGCCACCACACCCATTGACTCAATTTTGTATTTTTTTGTAGAGATGGAGTCTCACTATGTTGTCCAGGCTGGTCTAAAACTCCTGGCCTCAACTCATCCTCCTGCCTCAGCCTCCCAAAATGGTGGGATTACAGGTGTTAGCCACTGCGCCTGGCCCCTGCTTTGCTTTTCTTGATGACACCACGTTCTGATGTGCCATGTAATTTATATATTTGTTGTCTAACTCCCCACTATAATTAAACTAAATGAGGGCAGAGATTTTTTTTAGACCTTTGAATTTCTATTTATTTATTTATGTATGTATTTATTTATTTATTTATTATTATTTTTTTTTGAGACGGAGTTTCGCTCTTGTTACCCACACTGGAGTGCAATGGCGCGATCTCGGCTCACCGCAACCTCCGCCTCCTGGGTTCAGGCAATTCTCCTGCCTCAGCCTCCCCAGCAGCTGGGATTACAGGCACGCGCCACCATGCCCAGCTAATTTTTTGTATTTTTAGTAGAGACGGGGTTTCACCATGTTGACCAGGATGGTCTCAATCTCTTGACCTCGTGATCCACCCGCCTCGGCCTCCCAAAGTGCTGGGATTACAGGCTTGAGCCACCGCGCCCGGCCCTTATTTATGTATTTATTTATTTGGAGACAGAGTCTTGCTCTATTGCCCAGGCTGGAGTGCAAGTGTGGTTTCAGCTCACTGCAACCTTCACCTCCCAAGTAACTAGGATTACAGGCACGTGCCACCACGCATGGCTAATTTTTGTATTTTTAGTAGAGATGGGGTTTCACCATATTGGCCAGGCTGGTCTCGAACTCCTGACCTCGTGATCCACCCACCTCAGCCTCCCAAAGTGCTGGGATAATAGGCATGAGCCACCGTGCCCAGTCGAATTCTTGTTATTTTGAAATAATAAGATTCACAAGAAGTTGCAAAGAAGGGGACCGAGAGGCCCTGTGTACCCTTTATCTAGTCTTCCCCAGTGTTAGCATTTTGCATAACTGTACAATATCACGACCAGGAAATTCACATTGGCACAGTCCACAGAGCTTATTCAGATTTCATCAGTTATACATGTTCTCATCGGGGCAGGGGTGGGCAAGGGGGAGTTGTATAGAATTATTTTTCTTTTTTTTTTTTTTGAGTCAGAGTCTCACTCCGTCACCCAGGCTGGGGTGCAGTGATGGGATCTCTGCTCATTGCAACCTTCACCTCCCGGTTCAAGCAACTCCCCCGGTCTCAGCCTGCCAAGCAGCTTGGACTACTGGCTCATGCCACCACGCATGGCTAATTTTTGTATTTTTAATAGAGACGGGGTTTCACCATGTTGGTCAGGCTGGTCTCAAACTCCTGACCTCGTGATCCGCCTGCTTTGGTCTCCTAAAGTGCTGAGATTACAGGCGTGAGCCACCGCTCCTGGCAAATTCTATCATATGTGTAGCTTTGTGTAATTCCCACCACACACAAAAAAATCCAGAACCATACCATCACCACAAGACTCTACGTGGGGAGGGATTTTTGGTCAGATTTGTTTGCTCCTGTGCCCCCAGCACAAAGACCAGAACCTGACAGAATAGGTCCTCAAAATCTGTGGAGTTGAAAAGGCAGTAGAGGATAGTGGAGACAGCACAGACTCTGAAGCCTGGACCACCTGAGTCTGAGTACTGGCTGTGCAACCCAGTAGCTGTGTGACCTTGGGGACACAACTTAAACCTGTCCCTGCCACAGTTTCCTCTTCTGTAAAATGAGGATAATTAACCGTACTTAAACTTTGTAGTGTTGAGGATTCAAAGAGTCACTGGTAAGACATGTTAAACACACAGTGAGGTATGAATTAATACACGCAGACACGTAGTAACTATCAATTCCCATAAGCAGCGGTCACTGTTACTTTCATCCTTTTACATCACAACAGAACAGATAGTGCTAGGAGCCATAAGAAAGGTAAAAATTAACTATTACAACATTGTTGAACGGCTGACGGTCCCTTCCTACACTTCCCAGGCAGGTCGAAATGACTCGTAGCCCTCTGGGAAAAGGGCACTTGCTCTCCGCATGCCCAGCCCCGACTGGGCGTTCCCAGTCCCCGGCGCCCGGAGATGACGGACGCTTCCCTCGCCCTCCCTTAGGGTTAGTCCCGCCCAATCTGCTCTTTCGCTTTTTGGAAGGGCTTCTGCTTTGGCATTTATCACGGGCTGTCTGCCTCACTTACAAAGCAGGGTGCCCCTAGCACACTGCCGGGCCCCAGGGGGAACCCACTTGGGGAAGTGAAGCAAAGCGAATTGCGTGTGGCAGGAAGCAGCGCGCTTTCCCACGGCGCCACGGGAGCGCACGGATAGACTGATAGGCGCTGGGAAGAGGCGGTCGGCGCGCCGCGTCACCTTCCAAGCTCCGCCCGCCAGAAGCGCCTTCTAAGCTCGTTCTTCCGGTTGCCTTCTTCCTCTCTTCCTTTCTCCGCCATCGTGGTGTGGGCATTACTCCGTTTCTCGCCATGGTAAGTCCATCGGCCCCCATCGGGCCCGGGGTAGGTTCCCAAGACTCGAGGCCTCCGCCACGAAATGCCTGGGCCGCGCACAGCGTGGAGGGGCAGGAGCCTTTTAAAGTCTTTCACAAGAAAAGGTCGAGTTCGGCCACTGTTGTCTTCGTGGCCTGGAGGGAAGCTAGCGAGCCAGCAAGCAACCTGGAGAGGGACGGACTGCGCTGCGGCCGCGGATTCGAGGGGGCTCTTTGTTCGCCAGGCCGCTGCCGAGACGGGCAGGGATTCCGCTTTCCCTTCGCTTGTAGAGATCTCTGGTTCTGGAGGCGGGGTGTAGGGGATGGCAGCCGCCCCCGAAATCGCGGGCTGCCCGACCGTGGCTCGCGCATCGTGGAGGGTAATCAGGAGAGTAATATGGGCTACTGGTTTTCGAATAGGGTTGAACTTGGCGTGGAGAAGCGAACCACATGTTTAGATCCCAGGACTTCTGTTTACAGGACGTTTATTCGGAGACTAGAGCATCACCCCGTGGAAGCGCCTAGGACAAGGGGTATTTTGTGAACGTGTACATCATCCAGGCCTTCTTAGTAAATACCAGCAGCGGACCAGTCACTGTTTCACTGGGAAATATAAAATGTTGATTGATTTCTAGATATGGAGGCGATAAGTACTAGTATTTTATAGTTTGTTATTTGACAGAATTTACAACTACTGTGGACGGGGAGAAGGGGGTATAATCTTTGTCTCCCTTGTATTGGCTCCCATTATTATGCAAGGGTATGTTCGTCGAGGTTGGCCACGCATTAAACGTGTATCCGTGCCATTTTTGCAAGATTATTCTGTAAATTTGGGGAAGTATTGGGGTTGGCCTTCTATGACTGAAGGTCTTTATGAAAGCCAGAAGATGCCAACTAGAAATTGAGACAGTCATCCTTGGAAAAGTAAAAGTGACATTTCATTTATTTTTAAATTTAAAAGTTTATTTTTTTGGCCAGTGAAATTTAGCAGTGGGGCTAGAGTTACGATTAATATGGAAATGGCGAGTGAGGTCTTCTGAATGTCAGGGACTTTGCCTAAGTCTTAATTAGCCTCCCGATGACACTTGAAAATTATGTACCCTATTTTACAAAGTACAGCACTGAGACTTGTTGACTTGCAAGTGGTAGGTGGTTCTGTTTGACTCAAAGCTGTGTTCTTCCCAGGAAGCCAAGTTAGCCATTCCCAGTGTGGTCTGAGTCCTTGGGAGGACCACCTGGTAAACTGGAAGGTAGCCTCTGGCTGTGGAACAGAGAGGACCTGGGTTTGAATCCTGGTTCTGCACATTGATGCTCCGATTTTCTGCATGTTTCTTTTCTTTTTTCTTTTTTCTTTTTTTTTTTTTTTGAGACGGTGTCTTGTTCTGTTGCCCAGGCTGGAGTGCAGTGGCACGCTCTAGGCTCACAGCAACCTCCACCTCCAGTGTTCAGGCAATTCTCCTGCCTCAGCCTCCCAAGTAGCTGGGATTACAGGTGTGCACCACCTGGCTAATTTTTGTATTTTTAAGTAGAGACCAGGTTTCACCATGTTGGTCAGGCTGGTCTTAAACCCCTGACCTCATGATCTGCCCAGCTTCTGCATGTTTCTTAACCTCCTGATTCTACTTATTTTTTGAGACAAAGTGTCTCTCTGTCGCCCAGGCTGGAGTGCAGTGGTGCAGTCTCTGCTCACTACAACCTCTGCTTCCCAGGTTCAAGCGATTCTCCTGCCTCAGCCTCCCGAGTAACTGGGACTACAGGTGTGCACTACCACAACCAGCTAATTTTTGTATTTTTAGTAGAGATATGTTGGCCAGCATGGTCTCTTGACCTCATGAGTGCTGGGATTATAGGCGTGACTTACCGCACCCACCCTCCTTCTACTTATTTTTATTTGAACTGTGGAAACTGATATCTGCCTCCAGAGAAGTTGTAAGGGTCAGAGGCTTGTCTTGGTGGCTTAGCATTGAGAAGATTTGGGGACCGGGGTATGTGTTAAGCACTCAAATATTGGTTCGAAGGAGTTGTTTGAATCATTTGGGCATGCTGTAATATCATTGTCTAAACTGATTGCATTTTCTTCCCAGTCTTCTCACAAGACTTTCAGGATTAAGCGATTCCTGGCCAAGAAACAAAAGCAAAATCGTCCCATTCCCCAGTGGATTCGGATGAAAACTGGTAATAAAATCAGGTAAGACCCTCCATCATACTGCTTGTATTTTGTGAAATGTAAGAGGCGCTGTGCCTGGCCAAGGTTACTTTTTGAGTATAAATACATGATTACAATTACATGCTATCCAATCCATCCTCTGACATCAATCTCAAATTCCTTTTTAAAAACATACTATGCCAGGCGTGACAGCTCACCCCTGTAATCCCAGCACTTTAGGAGGCTGAGGTGGCTGGATCACAAGGTCAACAGTTTGAGACCAGCCTGGGCAACATGGAGAAACCCCGTCTCTACTAAAAATACAAAAATTAGCCAGGCACGGTGGCATACACCTGAAATCCCAACTACTGGGGAGGCTGAGGCAGGAAAATTGCTTCAACCCGGGAGGCAGAGGTTGCAGTGAGCTGAGATGGCACCACTGAACTGTATGTAGCCTGAGCGACAGAGCAAGACTTCCCGTCTCAAATAAACAAACACATTTCTTTTGTTTCTGTACTGCATCCAGCCCAAAGCTGGGCTTAGGGGCAGACACTTTTCCAGTACTTGTTAATTTCCTGGCCATCTTCAGTCTGAGCTAGGTTATAAGGTGGAAGGCTGTCTTATACACATCCTGGGGGGGAAGACCTAGTCAGTGTTTTTCGGCTTTTTGGTGGGTTTTTGTTTTTTGAGACAGGATCTTGTTCTGTCTTATTATTTTATATATATATGTGTATAGATATATATTATTATTTTTTTAAAGACAGGGTTTCACCATGTTGGTCAGGCTGGTCTTGAACTCCCGACCTCAGGTGATCTGCCCACCTTGGCCTCTAAAGTGGATTACAGGCGTGAGCCACCACACCCAGCCTTGTTCTGTCTTATATGCTGCGTTGGCACTATCACTGCAGCCTCTGCCTACCAGAGTTGCTCATTGCAGCCTTTACATACCAGGCTCAAGTGACCCTCCCACCTCAGCCCTCTGAGTAGTTGGGGCTACAGGCACATGCCACTACACCTGGCTAATTTTTAAATTTTTTGTAGAGGTGGAGTCTCTATGCTGCCCAGGCTGGCCTTGAACTGAGCTCAAGCAATCCTGTCTCGGCCTACCAAAGTGCAGAGGATTACAGGTGTGAACCATCGCACCTAGCCCAGTTTTTAAAATATTTCTCTTTTCTAAAGAGAGACTGGAAAACCGCTGTCTACTGCAGAAGTACTTGAATTAATTATTTCAAGGGAAAAACATTAGAATTGCTATGAAGGACCTCCAAGTGTCAGCTAGACTAACTCCAGGGAAAGCGTCTTTTTCAGCCCATCGATCTTTGGACCTGATGGGCCTTGGGACAGGTCTTAAAAGGAGGAAAATTAAGCATCAAAAATCAGTGAGAGATGTCCAAGGTTCAGCAGTCGTGCTCTCTCACCTAGGCTGAGTGCAGTGGTGTGACCCTCACGCAGTCTGAGTAGCTGGGACTGCAGGCCCAAGCTGACACTAGGATGAGCCTAGTAATTGGGTCTCTCTTGAAAGACACTGAAAGCTCAAGAGTTTCTAGTTAGAAGTAGGCACTCTTTTTTTTTTTTAATTTATTTTTTAAAAGGCTAGTCAAGTGAAGCAGTGGGAGTGGAGAAGGAACAAATCTGTAACTGGTTGTGATCAATTAGTTGTAAACACCACTGCACTCGGACCAGCCAGAACTAGGCACTCTTGAAACTAGTTAGAACTTGATTTGACTTGTATGGCAAACCTAGTGGGATTGGTTTGCTAAGAAGACTTAGGTGTGGCTTGTTAGGGCTGAAGTTGAGGGCCCATTTCCTTAGTTCATTTAGCCAGTTAGATGTGAAAATTGCCACCCATTGTAATGTTACGAGTTAGTTAATTGCTTACCTTTTGTTCATGGATACTAAACACTGTCCTTTATTATTTGATCCATTTACATGAACATTGTATTCTATGTGTCTGGCCTGACTGGTGGGACCTGCTTTATAGGTTGTGGAGAATGAAAGAAGTATATATAAGCCAGGCACAGTGCCTCATACCTGTATTTGTAGCACTTTGGAAGAGGCCAAGGTAGGATTGCTTTAGGCCAGAAATTTGAGACCAGTCTGGGCAACATAGGGAGACTCCAGTCTCCCAGTCTCTACCAAAAAAATTAATTAGCCAGGCTTGGTGGCACGTGTTTGTAGTCCTAATTACTTAGGAGGCTGAAGTGGGAGAATCACTTGAGCCCAGGAGTTGAGAGGCGGCAGTGAGCTGTGATCTGGCTACTGTATTGCAGCCTGGGCAACAGTGTGACCCTGTCACGAAAAAAAAATGTATGTAAAACTCAATGTCTAGTTCAATAAATAACCTGCTGTAAAACTCTGTGGTCTTCTAGAATTGGGAAGGTATTTTGTATGTAGGATTATACCCTTGACCCAGAGAATTCACCCAATGGAATGATATTCATTGTCTCAGCTACCTTCCAGCTTTAAAACTATTGAAAGCAGGTTGCAATTACAGTGCTTCATTTTGTGGAAGTACTGCCATTATCCTGCTGAAAGAAAAGCCGTGTTAATCATTTTTGATTTTGCCTTTGAGGGTAAAATCATGAGAGATTGACATGGACAATTCTGGGATTGCTGTTCCCCTGCAGCAGACGTGAATGGGGGAGTTAATTGATTGTAAAGATCATGCGAGGCTGGGCGCCATGGCTCACACATGTAATCCCAGCACTTTGGGAGGCCAGGCTGGTGGATCACGAGGTCAGGAGTTCAAGATCAGCCTGGCCAAGATGGTGAAACCCCGTCTCTACTAAAAGTACAAAAATTAGCTGGGTGTGGTGACGCACACCTGGAGTCCCAGTTATTCGGAAGGCTGAGGCAGGAGAGTCGCTTGAACCTGGGGGGCGATGGTTGCAGTGAGCTGAGATTGTGCCACTGCACTCCAGCCTGGGTGACAGCGAGACACTCTCAAAAAAAAAATAAAAAAAAAAAAATAAAAAAAAAAAAAATAAACCACATGCAGGAGGTTTTATGTGTGTGTGACCCATTATGAGGGCGTTCAGAATGTCTGTTTACCCCCAGGTCCACTGAATCAAAAGTGCGTGCAGGTACACTTGGAGAGCGGGCTTCCCCACTATTTTGATCCCAGTTAAGAGCCTAGCTTTGAATCATTTGGAGAGGATAAAACTTGGCTTGGCTAGTTTTTGAACACATAGGGAATCATTTTTTTAACTTTCCAGAAAGAGCTCCAAACTTGTTAAAGGAGGGAAAAGTGGTACCCTTTGTATTTTGCGGTTCTGAAAAGGTGTGAATGGGAAAAGCTAAACTGTGCGACTTCCTTTGTAACTGGACATTTTTTTCTGTTTAGGTACAACTCCAAAAGGAGACATTGGAGAAGAACCAAACTTGGTCTGTAAGAAATTACACATGTGATGGCACACATATTTATGCTGTCTGTAGGTCACAGTCGTGTTACCAAATCAAGCTGAAAAATGTCACCGCCATCTGGAGAAGTTTGAACAGTTTCCTTTCTGTATCTGTTATGAAGGCATTAGTACAACGCACAGTGCTTCCATTATTCATGTTAAAAAAAAAAAAAAACAAGGTTTTGGTTGCCTGGGTTCAGTAATAAATATGTGAGACCTTTCACTTCTATTGCTGTTGTGTTGTGGTTTGTGACGTACTGAAATCTCCCTTCCCTGCCAAACCTTACAGCATTATCCAGTAGAACTTTCTGCAATGATAGAAATGTTCTCTGTTTGCCATGTGCTTGAAGTGTGTTTAGTGTAAAGGACTAATTCTGTGATTTTTTTTTTGAGACTGAGTTCTTACACCATGATCATTTCACCAGGTTGACCAAGCTGGTCTCAAAACTCCTGACCTTGTGACCCGCTCAGCTTGGCCTCCCAGTGTGAACCACTGCACCTGGCCTTGTAAATTTTACTTAATGTGACTAGTGGCTCCTACACCTTCTGTTTTATTTTTTGAGGCAGAGTTTCACTCTTGTCGCCCAGGCTGGAGTGCAATGGCATGCTCTCGGCTCACTGCAACCTCCACCTTCCAGGTTCAAGTGATTCTCCTGCCTCAGCCTCCCAAGTAGCTGGGATTACAGGCGACTGCCACCATGCCAGCTAATATTTTTGTATTTTTAGTAGAGATGGTATTTGACCATGTTGGCCAGGCAGGTCTCCACCTCCTTACCTCAGGTGATCCACCTGACTCGGCTTTCCAAAGTGCTGGGATTACAGGTGTGAGCCACCGCATCTGGCCAGTTTCTACATTTTTAAGTAGTTGAAAGAATATTTTATGCCATTTTAAAACAAAAATTTCTGGCCAGGCATGGTGGCTCACGCCTGTAATCCAAGCACTTTGGAGGCCAAGGCAGGTGGATCACCTGAGGTCGGGAGTTCAAGACCAGCCTGACCAACATGGTGAAACCCTGTCTTTAACAAAAAAAATTTCTGTCTGTATAAAATGTTGTTTCACAGCCATATGCATCATTTGCATATTATGTATGTAAATACACCCTAATGCATAGAGGTCATGTGGCCTGCAAAGCCTAAAATATTTATTCTTTGCTCTTTATGCAAAAGGAGGACTCAGGAGAGTTCACTATTGCTTTAAAAAATCTAGGTTAAGGCCGGATGCAGTGGCTCACGCCTATAATCCCAGCACTTTGGGAGGCCGCAGCTGATGGATTGCCTGAGATCAGGAGTTCGAGACGAGCCTGGGCAACATGGTGAAACCCCATCTCTACTAAAATACAAAAAATTAGCTGGGTGTGGTGGTGTGCACCTGTAATCCCAGCTACCTGGGAGGCTGAGACAGAATTGCAAGAACCCCGGTGGAGGTTGCAGTGAGCCAAGATCGCGTCACTGCATTCCAGCCTGGGCAACAGAGGGAGACTCTGTCTCAAAAAAAAAAATCTGGCCAGGCGCGGTGGCTCAAGCCTGTAATCCCAGCACTTTGGGAGGCCGAGGCGGGTGGATCACAAGGTCAAGAGATCGAGACCATCCTGGTCAACATGGTGAAACCCCGTCTCTACTAAAAATACAAAAAAATCAGCTGGGCATGGTGGCGCATGCCTGTAGTCCCAGCTACTCAGGAGGCTGAGGCAGGAGAATTGCCTGAACCCAGGAGGCAGAGGTTGCGGTGAGCCGAGATCGCGCCATTGCACTCCAGCCTGGGTAACATGAGTGAAACTCCGTCTCAAAAAAAAAAAAATAAATAAATAAATAAATAAATAAATCTAGGTTAGTTGTTGACATTGTAACAGGTAATGGCATTGCCTGACTTAAAAGCTACAGCTGAGTGAATGTGCAGTGGAAATCTTGTGGGTTTGAGCTTTTACCTGGTTAGTTCCGCTTCTGATACCCCTTGCAGTTTACCTGGCTGAAGTATCACCAGAGAATTGTTTCACATCTCAACCACTAGCAGCTTCAGATTTAGAGAGATGATACAGTAGCAAATTATTGGCCACCTGTGTGTCACGCACTGTTCTATGTACTTGGGATTCATTGGTTGATAGACAAATTATGTGGCATGTTAAGTGGTAAGAGTGAATAGGCCAATATACAAACCTTAGCAGACCTTTTCTGTAGAAAAGGTGAGGGAACAAAGCTTCCCCCAATTACCAGTGGAATTAGGATTGAAACTGCCACAGCAAGGGAAAGAACAGGGTTTGGCTGCAATCCCCTGCCCAGTCAATAGGGGGCCTGTGCTGCCTGGACACAGCCGAAAAGGCAGATGGCAGCAGATATGGGCTGCTGCATAAAGTATGCAAGTGGTAAAGGTGGGAATACCCAGCAAAGGAGGCCCTGCCTACAACCACACTAGGAGGTTCAGATGAAAGCAGTTCCAGCTGGGCACAGTGGCTCATGCCTGTAATCCGAGCACTTTGGGAGGCCAAGGCACATGGATCACCCGAGGTCAGGAGTTTGAGACCAGCCTTGCCAACGTTGTGAAGCCCCGTCTCCTAAAAGTACAAAAATTAGCCGGGTGTGGTGGTGCATGCCTGCAGTCCCAGCTACTCTTGAGGCTGAGACAGGAGAATTGCTTGGACCCAGGAGGCGGAGGTTGTAGTGAGCCGACACAGCCCCACTGCACTCCAGCTTGGGCAACAGAGCGAGATTCTCTCAAAAAAACAAAAAGCAATTCCTAAGAGCACTGTGCTCACCAGAAGTGTGAAGAATGAGCTCCAGAATACCAAGGAACTTAGGAGCTTTTAAAGGGATCTTTGGAACCTATCTCCTGAACCCCTAGACGGCAATTTTTTTTCTTTTCTTTTTTCTTTTTTTTTTTGAGATGGAGTCTCGCCCTGTCGCCCAGGCTGGAGTGCAAAGGTGCAATCTTGGCTCACTGCAACCTCCAGCTCCTCGGTTCAAGCGATTCTCCTGCCTCAGTTTCCCAAGTAGTTGGGATGACAGGCTCCCACCACTGTGCCCAGCGAATTTTTGTATTCTTTTTAGTAGAGACAGGTTTTGCCATGTTGGTCAGACTGGTCTCGAATTCCTGACCTCAGGTGATCCACCTGCCTTGGCCTCCCAAAGTGCTGGGATTACAGGTGTGAGCCACTGTACCTGGCCCAACTGCAAATATTTTTTCTTATTGCATCAGTGATGCCTTCATATTAAAAGAAAGCTGCCACTGTGAACAGCAGTTGGTAAACATTAACATACTTAAAAATGTTACTCAAGCCTGGCTCAGTGGCTCACCTGTAATCCCAGCACTTTGAGGGACTTAGGTGGGTGGATCGATTTAGCTCAGGGGTTCAAGCCCAGCCTGGACAACATGGCAAAACAAAAAAAAAATTAGCCAGGCAGGGTGGAGTGCACCTGTGTCCTAGCTGCCCTTGAGGTTGAAGTGGAATGATCACCTGAGCCTGGAAGGTTGAGGCTGCAGTGAACCATGATCACGCCACTGGACTCCAGCCTGGGTAACAGAGTGAGACCCTGTCTCAAAAAAGGTTACTCAAGTCCAAAGCAGAAGGACTTGATAAAATTAACTGACAGTCACAAGACAGGGAAATTTCTAACCATTTCAGAGCATTAGAAAGCAGTCTTGTGTTTCAGAGCAGGTTGGGTGTTTGTTAACTGAGCCCAAGGAGGTCAAGTGACAAGGCCAAGGTCTAATTAATGGCATCGCCAGCTTTCCCTACAGACCTCAAATAGGTAGGATTAGGATTTGGAGAAGAGGAAAATGACATGGACACGGGATTAGCCGTGTGTAAGGGGTTTATTTTTATTTTTTAATTTTTATTGTTTTTTAAATGGATCTCACTCAGCCACCCAGGCTGGAGTGCAATGGCACATTCTTGGCTCACTGCAACTCCACTTCCCGGGTTCAAGAGATTCCCCAGCCTCAGCATCCCGAGTAGCTGGGATTACAGGCCTGTGCCACCATGCCCGGCTAATTTTTGTGTCATTTTTAGTAGAGATGGGGTTTCACCATGTTGGCCAGGCTGGTCTTGAGCTCCTGACCTCAGGTGATCTGCCTGCCTCGGCCTCCCAAAGTGCTGGGATTACAGGCGTGAGCACCGCGCCCGACCAAGGGGTTTATTTGGAGCCCAGGAGTTGAAAGCTGTGGGGCCTGTATCCAGTGGACCGTTGCTGTCTTGTACAGTTGCCAGTACCTGTTTCCCCATCTGTGAAGGGAGTTGGATTAGATCAGTGCATCCTGAAGGGAGGAATGGGAAATTGCAATATAGTTTAAGATTTCAGAAAGGTACTGAAATAGTACATTGACCTTCAAGAAGTGAAGCATTAGATGACACGTTTTGAAAGACAGGAAGTCACTGCTGTGGTGACACTGCCCATCCCTTGACCTACTGAGAGGCAGGCAGCAGCCTGGTGGTTGAGTTTGCTGCTGTCTGTGTATCACCAGACTATAGTCTGGATTTATCAAACCCTGCCCTCAGGCTGGGCGCGGTGATTCAGGCCTGTAATCCCAGCACTTTGGGAGGCCAAGGCAGGTGGATCATTTGAGGTCAGGAGTTCGAGAACAGCCTGGTCAACATGGTGAGACCCTGTCTCTACTAAAAATACAAAAGTTAGCCAGGTGTGGTGGCACATGCCTGTGGTCCCAGCTACTCAGGAGGCTGAGGCAGGAGAATCGCTTTAACTTGAGAGATGGAGGCTGCAAGTGAGCCGAGATCTCTCCATTGCACTCCAGCCTGGGCAACAGAGTGAGACTCCATCTCAAAAAACAAATAAATAAAAACAGGCAGGCTCACACCTGTAATCCCAGCACTTTGGGAGGCCGAGGCAGGCGGATCACAAGGTCAGGAGATCAAGACCATCCTGGCCAAGGTGGTGAAATACCATCTCTACTAAAAATACAAAATATGGGCCGGGCGCGGTGGCTCAAGCCTGTAATCCCAGCACTTTGGGAGGCCGAGGCGGGTGGATCACGAGGTCAAGAGATCGAGACCATCCTGGCCAACATGGTGAAACCCCGTCTCTACTAAAAATACAAAAAATCAGCTGGGCGTGGTGGCGCGTGCCTGTAATCCCAGCTACTCAGGAGGCTGAGGCAGGAGAATTGCCTGAACCCAGGAGGCGGAGGTTGCGGTGAGCCGAGATCGCGCCATTGCACTCCAGCCTGGGTAACAAGAGCGAAACTCCGTCTCAAAAAAAAAAAAAAAAAAAAAAAAAAAAAAAAAAAAT